AAGGTAGCTTGGTAGATTTCTTTGAAAGAAGGTAGTCATTAATGACCTTTCAATTCAAAGGATCCGCCAAATCTGGTCTTTATGATTTTTCTGAAAAAGTTGCATGTTTTCCTTCTTTGAATGCTTCCTTGTTTGACTAATTATTTTATTTTATTTATTATTTTTGTCTTGTACCAATGAATGGAAAGTATGAAACTTTTGAAAATTCTGTGTCCCTAGAAGCATGCTGCTGTATGTGATAAAATCTCTCTAAGTATCTCATCAGCAAGACCATCTGATGAGATGTCATTGAGTCACCCACTCACCCTGACACTTATGCACTGACAAAATCTCTCTAAGTATCTCATCAGCAATACCATATGATGAGATGCCATTAAGTCACCCACTCACGCTGACGCTTATGCATTGACATATCATTCAACGTGATATCGCCTTATCAGAAAATTATTATAAGGCTTGGGTGTATTTCATGATTGATCAGTCATCCAGACTCTGTCCCTGGAAGCATGCTTGTCATATGCATCAAGTTTCACGTTCTGCTGAAACATCGAGCATTACCCAGTGGCCTACCCTGATTTCACTGTCATAAACGTAAGAGATACTTTTTAGGTCCTTAATTGAAAAAGGGTTACTCAAGTTCTTTTAAAATAGAAATTGATGATTCACTGTATTTTACCATACATTGATAAAAATTTGAAACTATTGTCGATGGTTAGACTATGTTTCGTAGGCTATCACATGCACTAGCCCCTTGTCACCCTATTTTTCTTCTTAAAAGTTTTATGATTCAGCGTAAGATGCCAGACGCTGATAAGAACTTAAAAAAATTTGTGCCGATGGGTATATCTTGTTCCAGGGTATATTACATGCACCTATCCACTCTTTCCCCTTTCTTCTAATAAAAGAAGTTAATGGTTCAACGTATAAAACCATACACTGATGAGATTTCGCAACACTATGTCAATGATCTAAAGTATCATAACATACTATCAGGAGACATCACTAACACATCCATCATTCCGCTGCAACTCATGATACGCTGATATCTTCTTCTGTAACTCGTGACATATTGATACATTAGGTTGCAATATGTGATACGCTGTTTCAAAATAGTAATTATTCAATGGTAACTTTTAGATGAGGATAAGAATGCAAACCTACCTTGGGATTCGAGCTTTTTATGGAACGTTTTCTTCCCCAATGATTACGTGAAAGGTGGGGGAATTTTGAAATATAAAAAGGAGTTTTCTCTCTCCTAGGTCTCTCCGTTTCACTTTTCAAGCAAAATCTCTCCAATCCCACTTCGATCATTTTCATTTTTTCAAAAGTTCTGCTGCTTCAGTTCAATCTCTTTACAGACATCAACAATTGCTCAAGTTTTATTTGATTTCATTCATATTGTAGATGTTCTAAAGGCTCACAATACTTTTGATACTCCCATTGTCATCCAAGCCAATAATGTCGCCTTCATAGACGCCATTCCACCGAAACATCAAAATTCAGGCATCGAAGACTTTGTTGAATATTTGAAGTGATGCCCTCTTTGCTATGACTTAAGTGACATTCCAGAGCCCTTCTTCCCAAAGCAAGTATGTGGGTTTTATTACACATGTGTAGTTGATGTGTAATGCAAAAAAATCACAACAAATTTAAACTTTTCAAAAACAACCCATTTGCTCAAACAGTGTTTACATAACCATTGTTACCAAAAACATTATTTAATATCAGTGTCTCCCAAGATCCAACAACATAAAACCAAGGATGTGTAAGGTCATGCCTTCGCCTTGCCGCGATCCTTAGAAGTACCTGAAACAAAACAAAAACTATAAGCCAATTCTTAGTGAGTTCCCCTAAAGTACCACCATATAAACATAACAAACAATAACACGAATACAGAGCCTTCAACATGACTGGACCGCCTCACTAGGCCTTCAGCCTATCTGGACCGTTCTCTCGGCCTTTGGCCTGCATGGACCACCTTACAGGCCTTCAGTCTATCTGGACCGCCCTGGGTGTCTTGGCCTCCAGTATCAACTGGTCCGCCTCAACCCAGTAAACCATAACATATCAATACATAACATTATCAATCAATAACAGCAAGCACATGTAGTCCTACAGCTCTACCAATCTTATCACATAGCCAGTACCACATAACAACATACAACAAAGCATGATATCTAATCAAATAGGTCGGCCTTGGTGCCTTCGACCCATATGTACAGTGAGGAAAACTCACCTCTTAGTCTGAAAACAATCTGAATGAATCTCTGCTCCGACAACCGGCTCTACCCGACTCTTAATAATCAAAACATTTCCCAATCTAAATTAAAATCAATTTCCCAAAAATACCCTTGGTCAAAATCAACGAAATCAAGCGATTCAACCCAGCCGAGTCAACTCATCTGAGTCAACCTAGCCCTCAGACGCACTCATTGTCCAAGGAGTCGGGACTCAAACTGCATACGTGCAGCGTACCTAGGGCCGTCAAATCTGGCAGTCATGTTGTGTTTTTGTCTAACACGACACGACACGACAAAGTTTTGTATAACACGAACACGACACGACATGATGTCATGATTTTTTTCATTAACACAAAAACGAACCAATTAAAATACGACAACACGACACAACACGAAAAAAATAATATTACATAACTATTAGTTTATTTCATTCATACTTAAAGATATATAACATGCAAAAAATGACAAACACGAAGAACACGACAACCACATGCTTAATCGTGTCAATTTTGTGTCGATTTATGAACACGAATACGAAACGACACGACATCGTGTTTTTTAATCTTAACACAAACACGACACGAACACGAATTCGAATTTTGATTTCGTCCCGTTTTCGTTTTATTTCGTGTATTTTTTTCGTGTCGTGTCATAAATTGACACCCAAAAGCGTACCAATTGGTACGCCCAACGTACACACTGATTTTCCACTTAATGGATTAAGAGCTTATTGCTTAAGCTATCACGACCAAATTGTATATCCAACTCCCAAATATCATCCTTGACCATAAAGTTTCCAACTTTATGGTCTTGCATGGCTAATAAGATTTAAATGCTAAAAACTCCATCCTCTTAACCCATTAAGACAATCAAACACATGCATGGAAAACGATTAAGAGCCAAGATCTTATTTTTATGCTTCTAAACCCCTCAAAACATCTGAAAGGGCAACTAGAATAGACTAGAGCATCACATACTCCAAAAAGGTCAAGAAATGGGACAAATGTTCAAGAATCAAGGACTTAGCAAGATCTAATGAAATACAAGCCAAGTTTGCAACTTTATACCTCTTGGAGGTTTCTAGAGAGGTGAAGATCCCAAATCCAAGGCTCCTTCAAGCTTCCAAGGTGGCTCTACTTCCTTCTTACTCCTTTAAGATCACCAAACACACATACAAGGGTCAAGAATGCTCAAACAAGTGGCTAGGTTTTGCTAAAATCGATTGGAGGTGTTGGTGGCTGATGAGAGATTAGGTTAGAGGCCATAATGATGTTTAAATAGGGTCCAAACCCTAAAAATTAGGGTTTGAGGATCTCTCACGTATGCCCTGCGTACTCGGTATACGCCTAGCGTACTTAGACATGTGCATGTACTCTCAGCATACATAACGTGCGCTCAACGTACTAGCCTTAGTTCGGAATTTACAAAAATGCCACTATGGGCCCTTTTTCTAACTTTCTCATACACAAGGGCCAAATACTATAAGTCTTTATACTTAAGGGTTAAATTTAAAAATACCTCAACGTCGGGGTTTTACATGACGCAAATGCTCAAATAATCTCCAAAACTATTGGAGATGGTCATTCAAGGGTCGACATATCTCCAACACTCATACGAAAAGTTCTTCGTCTCCCTTGTTAAGATGCATATGACGAGACTCCTTCTAAAGCCAGATGCATATATTCCAGGAATTGGGTATGATCTCTCTCTTCAGGGCAAACGAGACCCTGCCAAATATGTTCTTCGCCATTCTCTTAATGTTGGCTGGAAATATGTGATGGGAGTTATTCGGAAGGTATATGGCACAAAAGTGGTAGCTTGGACTAGTTGAATTTGTTCGAGAGATAAATTCCATATGCCATAGTTTATGAAAAAAAACCTATATTTTGCTTAATTTTTCTTTGATCAGATGGTGGAGTGTATCAGCGGCAATAAGCGTCCAACATATGTGTCATATCAATGTTGGATTGCTCTTATTTTGGGACACGCTGAATGGGTTATAAAAACAATCATGGGGAATCTATTCCAGATCCGATTCTTCCTCAAAAATAATCAATGCAGACCCTAAAGAAGGAGATATTCACTTATTTCAGTGGATGGTTCTTTGGACATAACATCCATATAATTATGAGGATGCAGAAGATGAAGAAGACGAGGATGCAGAATCCAATAATTCCTCCAGTGAATCAAGTGCCTCCTGAACTTACCACAACGCTAATACTGAATTGGTTGTTGTTCTTGATCAAGAAACAAAGGTTATTGCTCTTATACCTATTCAGTTTGCACTTGGAGAGAATGAATATGAAGCTGAAGGTCATTTTTCTGACTCTCCGATTTCAGCCAGGGTATCTCCTCCAAGACTGAATAAACACATTCATTTTCACTCTCCATCTCCCATTCATTCTCCTGAACCCATAACATAGCATGGATCAACTCCTCCACAAGTTGATCTATCCATTCCACTAACATCTCCACCTGAACCCATCCCACAACGTGAGACAACACCTCCACTCGCTGATACATCTATTCCCCTTCTCGTCGTTACCATTCCTCCACTTAATGTTGGTGCTATCGGTGCTACTTTTCCGCAGCCTCCTCCCTTTCAAGTTGCTGCTACTTTTCAGGGGGAGTCTATTTCATCTGATTTTCAATCAATCGTTCTCTCCAAGCTTACATTGCTGCTCAACTTGACTGATTCATTGGGATAACATCTGATTAATATTGAGGCCAAATGTGGATCACATAAGGCGCATCATTCCCATGGTAGAAGGCACTAAAGATATTGTTGATTCTCCCTCCAGTTCTCATCACAATCATCAGCCTCCACTACCTCCTCCACCTCCGCCTACTTGTAACAATCCTCCAGCTCTATTTAAACCACATCCTCCTTCAAATCCCCCACCTTCAATTCCCTCTTATCCTATCAACACTCATCCTAGGTCTCCTCCAGGGTCTCCTCCACATGCTGATGATGTCAAAAAGAGGGAGAATGATAAAGCAATAGTAGTACACACAGAAAAATTTGAAGATGTTGATGATCAGCCTGACACTGATGATGATGAAGACTTTCTGGATATGGATTTCATGTCACAAGCTATGCCTCTAAATATTATTTATCTATAAGCTAATCCTGAGGGGAAGTTTCCTCATCACAAGGAAAAAGAAGACCACCTCCTCAGGGAAAGTTCATGACACTGGTGAAGACTCCTCTGCTCGTCCCAGCGAGAAAAGGAAGCTCACAGTCAGTCTAGACACATTGGCCAGGGACAGGAGATTTCCAGTTGAGGAGGTTTGAAAAATTCTCACTGAGCATAATGCCTCTTAGAAATAGGAGAATGATGAATGTCGTTCCACTAAGCTTGAAATGAAGTTTTCCTCTACTGAATGGTGCATAAATGAACAATGATCAAATCTACAATGCTTTAACAATTTGGTCGCCAACTGAAAAGGATTTCACAGCTGAATGATCGTATTGACCGGAAGAAATTATAGAACTTTCTAATTCGGAGAACTAAACCCGATCCTATCATTAAGGTTAGGTGTACTAAACCCAAGGATGAAACACTGAAGATTCATCTAGTCAGAAAGAAAACTAAGTATGTATACACTGAAATTGTGTTTGCTCGCGAATTGGTCAAGTATTGTTACTCGAGTGGACTTGGATTCATGATTTAATTTCAAAGCATAAAAGTATTTGTGCTTAAGAGCTAAAGTTAGTACTACAAAAAATGATCAATAAAGTAAAAAAGCTAAATTTAGTGCCTTCAGCTCCTCCTTCTCAGCCTTCTACCTCAACGCCAGCCCCAAAGCAAAGGCAATCCAAATATGCCAAGTTCCTTCTTCATTTTGGCAATATCTACATCAAAAAAATGTTGCCAGTGAGTGTTCATTCGATTCAACACTTGTTCATTCAGGAGCCTGAGCATGGTATGTTCTATCTCAATGTATAAAATCAGATGTGCTTTCAACGCAATGAAGAACTTCATGATGCTCCCAATGAGCATATTTTTATCTTCGAATGGAGTGCATGGTGCATGAATAAGTGGAACAAGATTATCAATGGCTGATCTCAGTGGAACTAAGTAATCACATTGAAGAGCTTGAAGGAGATAACTTCCAGTGGATGAAACAAGAAATAATGGATGAAGCTGACATTTGCAATTAGAGTTAGTTTTGACATCATTAGATTATGGGAGATTGTAAGATCGATCCTTATAATCTGATGATTCAAATACACGTTGACAATCAGCTCACGCGCCAGCGCCAACGCCAACGACAATGCTAGCTCATGCAACTGACCAACGTCGGTATGTGACCACTTGTAATAGTGTATTTACTTTATATTGTGTAAATATAGTAATAGAAGGTGTCGGTTAACTGATCCTTAATCTCAGTGATTAGGATCATTCGGTTTACTTAGATTAGAGTCAATCCCCTAAATTTCAGGATTGATTGTTACTAGTTCTACTATATATTTGTATACTCGGGTTGTTCTCATTACAACCTTAATAGTCTCTTTGTTAAGATTCTCTTTGTGAGGATCATTTCTTAGTGAAAACGTCTTTTGTTATTTTTTCTTTCTTGTTTGTATCCAATCTACGAACCTTCATACTATTCCTCCTTCGTGTACGGTTGATCGTCTGGCTATTCTTCCTAAGTACTCAGATATACCTCTAGACGATTCTGCCATATCCGGTGTTGATCCACCTATAATGGTTCGACCTATCTCTGTCGTCATTCCCTCAAGAACAGTCGCTCCCTCTTCTTCTGAGATGGTGTAGGATAATAAAGAAGGCATCATTTTTGGTGTTCAGCGGGCCAGGGCAAAAAGGAAAGCAAATTTTGAGCGTTGCCGACATTTCTTTCGATGCGACTAACTGGAACATGGGGAGGCACATGAATCAACATAGGGGTCTCACATGTTTTATAGGTTCTATTCCCTCTGATAAAGAGGGGGTGTGGTGATTACAGATGATGACGTTCAATAATCTCATAGAAATCAAGGGACGTCGAAGCAGTCCGGTTCTACAACTATTGTTGTCCCTAGTTTACTCCTATAAGTTTCTTTTCCGACCATGATCCCACTCCTACTCCATCCAAAGGGGGTGGTTCTAGGATTCATGGTTGAGAGCACTCCTCTAATAATTTCCTTCCTAAGCACTTGGTCCAAGGCTGTTGGGTTTTGAGCATTCTAACACTTCCTAAGTGTACATGCAACCCTAATAAACCTTGGATCTATGTTTGTCTAAGGTACATGCAAAAATATTAATTTCCAAGGTTTATAACCTATCTAGCATGGCATGGGGTACTTTTAAACATAAAAGGACTAGATGAATTACATACCTTTTGTTGATTGTTGATTCCTTGGAGTTTGAGAGCCAAGCACCAATAATGTGAATGCCTCAAATGGAAATCACAAATCACCACAAACTTGGAAAATGTATGAGAGAGTATACTAACACTTAGAAATCGGCCACCACTATTACACACACACACTAGGGTAGTATTTCATGCAACATGAGCTTGTTTATATAGTGTGCATGGTTAGGGTGAAACCCTAATAACCCATGTCTTTTCCTTTCCAAGGATCCATGGGTTAAAAGCTCCATGGATCATCCATGGACTTCCACATAAGCTTAGCCCATTAACAAATGAGTATTAGCCCACACCATATAAATATAATAGCCCATGATTTAATTAGTCTTCCTTTTAATCACTAAATTAATTCATAATTAATTCAAGATTAAAACTAATTAAATAACATGACTTTATATTAATATATTATAACTTATAATATATTAATAAATCGTAAGTATACAATTCTCATAAAATTATCCATAAACAGTTTGGGTGAAGTGCAACCCAAATTGACCATGCCGGGTCGGGTCAAGTATATACCAAATAAGTTATGGGCTTAGACACCTTATCCAACAGTCTCCCACTTGGATAAGTCTAATAACTGTATTTGCGTATGTTACTTCAAGAACCAACCAGCAATCGTAGCTCTCGAAAACTCTGTTGAACTATGAAGCGCCATTTTAGATAAGTGATCATATAATCCTCTGTTCTCATGATATCAGCCGGACAAATACATGGAACAACGTCGTACTTATTGTCCAGCAGTTTGTTTCCCCCGATTCCGATTTGTTTGACAAAGAACTGAATTGAACACATCAATTAGGTTCTGACCGGGCCCGGTACATAGGTCAAAACAAAATCATCGAGGGGCCCAGATATTGCTTCTAATCCTCCAAGGACTAGAAGGAACAGATAAACTTCGACTCATATACTTGTTTCTACTACTTGTTGAATTATACACAAAGGCATGTTTTATAACATCAAGTTACTGATGCGTTTACGTGCAATCAATGCACAACCAACTCATAGGTAACAACTCATATCTCTAGGTTTGAAGACTTATATGATATTACCGTCTCACGATCACTCGAGATAAATTCCATGAAGTGATACAAGTGAGCGTGGGTTAATTCCAATACTCATAACTTATGAGTACTCATGAATGTTGTAGCAACCATTGCTATGTCTAAACACGTTTAGCCATCTACAAACTCGATTCATGACAGTCTTAATTCATACCTACTTCCAACATATGAACGACTGTGGAGTGTTTAAATAACTTAGTCATTCGGAAAGAATAACCTAGCTATCCTGGAAGTCAAAACATGCAAAGTGAAACACAATAATAATCGAATCCAATATGGTCTCAGAACCCTTTTGAATATAAATAAAACCACCTTTTATTTATCACCATATTGATTACACATTATTCATTGTATAATGTTTCAAATAATCAACTTAATACTTGAACAAAAAACAACAGTCGTCCCATGCTCCTAGCATGTACACTTTGTTTTTCTAAACAATAGTTGTGCCATACTCCAAGTATGCACACTATGTTTGTCTATGATCTTTACTTTGTGAAATAGATCAATTGAACATGATTCCAATGATGCTCATTTCACAATCCCAAATCCTTATTGTAAATGTAAGAATTCCTAATTCCTACCATTTACCAAAAAAAACTGTTAGATTTTAAACTTATATGCACTGATCCTCTCGTAATGATTATGCACAAGGTCACCAAAACCTTGTCATCAGTCATTACAGAGGATTCCAAAGGAGATCAACTCTATGGAAACGAACTCTCATATTCAAAGTACATTGCTTTGAACATCCTTCTTGCATAAAGTTTCTAACTTTCTCATAGATTCTTAATATCCAACTCCCAATATGGAAAATTTCCATATTCCTATTTTGATTGTCATATCTGAACAAGAGCTACCTCTTTTCAGAATATATCCATATGGTCCTTCCAAAATTTAACACTATACTTCCAACTGTCCCTGAGCAACCAATCTTTGGTGAGCCTTAGATAGTCCTCGACAATTGCTTAATCATTTCAGTCTTATCCAATTCTAGACTTTTCCCTTCTTAATGCTCTGAGCATTTGGAAAATTTAGAAAGGATGAATATTATAGCACATGTGACCGATCCTATACCCGAAGCATATGGGACACGATTCACGATGTCTCACATAAAGACCTGATACTGGATCAGTCTTTTGCTACAATATTTTTTTTTATTTTCCATGTTTTCAAAAATCGACTATGAAGAGGGATGTTGTAATCATAATCGAATTTGAGAACGCAATATATATAGAATTTCCTTATGTTGAACCATTCCAACATAAAATTCATATATATATATCCTTGACTAAAGATGATTAAAACTCAATCTAAGCTTTTAGAATTGAAATGAAGTATAATTTCATCTCCCTTAATTATAGCAAAACAACTTTTTCAACCCCTACAACTTTACGAATAGAAACTTTTGTTTTTCTATAATTAACATTGCTAACTTGCAACACTAAACATAATAATCATGCTCCCACTAACATGATGATTATCAGCATAACACTTATGCTCCCACTAGCTCTGACATATTTCCAGAAATCAGCTGGACTTCTGAAATTTAGATTCGTACACCCTTTCTTAGATAGCTCACATGTGTGTCTAAACAATTTCCAGAACTATGAAAAGGGATGTCGTAATCATAGTCTTAATTGTTTAGACCTTTGCCATTTCTCACAAGTCCATGTTAGT